TTGGGAATGGCTGAGCCATTACAAACATTGAATCTATCTCCCCTTGTGAGTATTCTCACACTTCTTATCAAACTGTCTGTACTGGGCTATCTTGATCATCACTTCAAAAGTTTTTTTTCTCTTACTTAATTGGCCTCTCAGAGTTGGTAAGACAACTCCCACCTGTTTATGCTCTCTGTATGTGTGTATATACATCTCCTCAATATTTATTCCACTCTGTATGCATCCGAAGAAGTGGGCTGTAGTCCACGAAAGCTTATGCTCTAATAAATTTGTTAGTCTCTAAGGTGCCACAAGTACTCCTGTTCTTTTTACACCTTCTTGTCAACTGTTTGAATGGGCCACTCTCATTACCACTACAAAAGTGATTTTTTCCTCCCTTGGTATCCTACTGTTAATTGAATTGTCTTGTTAGACTGACCTCCCACTTGGTAAGGCAACTCCCATCTTTTCATGTGCTGTGTATTTATACCTGCTACTGTATTTTCCACTCCATGCATCTGATGAAGTGGGTTCTAGCCAATGAAAGCTTATGCCCAAATAAATTTGTTAGTCTCTGAGGTGCCACAAGGACTCCTCATTGTTTTTGCCGATACAGACCTAACACGGCTACAACTCTGAAACCTGCTTCAAAAGAATTGATCTGGGAAAGCCATGTCCCCAACATCCTCTGTCATTAAGCATAATGCAAACAGATCTACACACCCTGCTTGCACTGGTTTAAATTGCTGGAAATTTTTGATCAAAAGATACCTCACCTTCCCATGGGTCACATATATATTTGCTTTCTTTATGAATTAGACAACAATGAAAGAAGTCAGAATGGGACTTGCTCATAACAGCATGCTAAAATTACTACATAGCAATATTCTTTCACTGGGCCTTTTTCTGAATTTTTCAGTGTCCACATTGACACTCAGTGTTAATACACTTTCAAGGTAATTACAAATTCTTCCTGTCCCCGTGAGTTTAGCCAAAAGTAGTTTCTCTAGTGATATGAACTCAATTGCATTTATGATTTTACTTATGGCTTTTACTGATTTAAACTGTTTTAGAGATTGTACATTTAAAGTTGTTTAATTCTTTTCTTATTGAAAAGTGATTAGGATTCTTTAGTGGCCAGATGGTATACAAATATTATTTATTATTAATAGTAATACCAGACTCAATAAGTCACTAAGGAAACAAATACACCTCTATCTCGATATAACGCTGTCCTCGGCAGCCAAAATATCTTACCACGTTATAGGTGAAACCGCGTTATATCGAACTTGCTTTGATCCGCCGGAGTACGCAGCCCCGCCCCTGCCTCCCCCCACCCCCCCGGAACACTGCTTTACCGCGTTATATGAGAATTTATATTATATCGGGGTAGAGGTGTACTCTTATCTCTGAAAATATTATTACGCCATTTTACAGATCACAGGTACACCCTCACCTGGAATTCTAGGTTCAGTTCTCATCGCCTCATCTCAAAAATGAGCAAACAAAATTAAGGGCGGGGAGGGTGTGACATGATAATTAGGGGCATGGAAAAACTCACATGAAGATAATATGGAAAGACTGTTTACCTTTGCGAGAAGACAGGATAAAAGCATACACAACAATGAATGGTATAGAAAAGGTAGATTGGGAACTTTTATTTACCTTCTCATACAAATACACGGGGACATTAAATGAAAATCAAAAAGTGGCAAAACTCAAAACTGATATAAGTATGTACCTTTTCACCCAGTGCATAATTAGCATGTGGAACTTCTTGTCACAGATTATTATTGAGGTGAAGAGTTATCAAGATTTAAAAATATAGATATTTATGTGGATAACAAGAATTTTTATTTAGTTTATTAACAAACACAAAAGCTTTGAAAGAGAAAAAAATTGTGCTTCAGAATATAAAACAATGTCTTCTGGGAGTTAGAAAGAAACTTGCCCTGAGAGATGTTATACTGTAATTGTCTAATTCAAGGTTTTTTTAAAACCTTTTTCTGAAGCATCTGAATAGTGGTCACTGCTGGTGACAGGATTCTGGATGAGATGGACTGATTCAGTATGACAATTCTTACATTCATAATTGACAATTCAAGATTCAGATCTACAAAAAATATTTTTCCTCTGATGAGCCAAAATGATATAAAATATTAAAAGACAAATATTAGTAAGAGACTTTTTAAACAAAATTCTCTATTATCTTAAAAGTGATGTACCTTTCCTGTTTAAGAGCATATTCCAGCATTTTGATTCTCCGCACTAGATCCTTCTTCAGATTTTCTTGTCCCTTCCTTTCCCCTTGAAGAAAGGCAATTTGGGCCTGGAAAAGACAAAACTCTACTTAGAAAAGTTCAAAAAAAGGCAAATTGTTTCCCCAATATATTTGCATGACAGATATATTAAGGGTCCCCATCCACTCCCAACCCCTTCTGAATCATTTCACAACTGATTCCATTTAACACTGTTTAAAAGCAGTTTGGCTACTGCAAACCAGGCACAACTATCATTTTGACCATATCAACTCTCTTTGAATTCCTCCACTGGCTCCCCCTTCTCTATTGCCTCAACCATAAGCAGCTCATCTTTGCTTTCAAGACTCTTCACACTCAGTCCCCGGCATATCTGTAATCTCTCATTCACAAGCAAGCTACCAGTGCTCATCTCCAATTAGCCCATGATGCCAGCCTCCACTGCCCATGTTACATTTTCAAACAAGCATCTTTGGACATTCTTCTATGCTGCTACATGGCACTTCAGCTGAAGTATTCTCTGTAAAAATCCAACAAATCACTGGCTTATCCATCTTCAAATCCCTCCTCAAAATATCCCCTTTGTTAAATTTCTTTTGTAGGCATCACAATATTAGGTTGCTAGTATTCAGAGACCAGTGACTATCATGCTAACAAATATTATCTCATAATCTGTCGTCTCTTGTCTTATATAAGACTGTAAGCTCCTTGGGCCAGGAACAGTCTTTTTGATCTGTGTTTATACTATAAATTATTAATAATAAGTGTTATAAAACTATCCATAGTTTGCATTGACAAACCCTTTAAACCATAGCCTCATTAAAGACTCCAAAATAATAAACAGGAGTTAAAGAAATATAGTAATTTTTAATTGCCTCACATAGCAATTAAGTTTGGTCTGAGGGCTAAGCATTCAAGCAAATATAAAAAACAGATAAGTAGCATCCAAAAAATATTAGGCAGAAAAAGACACAAACAACATGTAAGGGGAGAATGTCTTGAGTTGAATGATAACTGAAGTAGTATGTAAATAGGTTAGATATTTCTATATTGCAGGTCAAGGGATTTCTTTAAAGTTAATGAAAGGAAAAGGAAAACTTAAAGGCTGAGCCTTTATTTAAATGTTGGAAAAAACAGACTATGAAGTTTATTCAGAGACATTGTTTATAAGAAATGTCAGTTGAACTAATACAAAAGGTTTTTGGATGGAGGTGGGAGATTTAAAGACAATTGCAGATAGGTGCCTAACTCCCATTGACTCTGAATGGAAATTAGCATTTAACTACTTTTAAAAATCTCCTTTATGTATAAAATTGTAATAGAGGATGTTCATGACCAATCATGCAAAAAGGCCGCCAACTGGTGCCCAAAAGAGTTATCTCTGGTACAAAACAGGTCCCTGAGCTCTTTCTAAACCAACTCATGGAACTCAGATGTTTGAAGCCAAGCATATTTACAGGCATCCACCCCACGGTACTAGCCCTGACCTCAGTTTCACCCACATCCTAGGCTGCCCATACCCAATGTCAGGCCATATCCTTGTGAATAAGCTGCTTAAGCTCCTGACATTTTTTTAGGGAGGAGAATCAAGCAAGATGGCGGGCTAATACTCTGTAATATGAAGGGTTTTGGCTACAGATCAGTAAACTCTTCCTCCAAGCTAATCCCATCATGATTATGACACCAAGGCCAATTTGTGGTGCTCTACTCTGGCAGCAGTTGATCAGGCCTGACATACTGACTATGCCTAACACACTGTTGTCATAATCTGTATCTCAAAGGTGACATGTAAGATATCATTGGAAAACTAATAACTCACTGATCATTAATATTCTTGTATGATGTATGCACAGGATGTGTACAAAAAGTAATGAATATGTGCTAGAATCATTCTTAAAATGTGTTTGGCAAGCAACGTATAAACACAGTCTGTATTAAACAAAGGAATATGGGTTTACCTCAATTTATATATAAGCAACAAACAGAGTCATCAAACAAGACAGGAGATTGCAGAAACAGAAAATTTGCATTTTAGCAAACACCAGCGGAGGAAGAAAGAGCATGGAGCTTCCATCACCACCAGACTCTATGTTGCCTTCCTCAAAGCTTAAAGAAGCTTTCCTGGTCACTAAAGACAGGTGGCTGAACCTCAAAGCATAAAGTAATTGAATCAACTTTTTTTTTATAATACAGTAATATTGTATACGAAGTGTATAGAGAGGTCTTTTTTAAAAGCTAATGACACACTGGTGATTAATGTATATATGGGGAAATTATATACATTTAATGATATTATGCTTTAAAGCCTGTGACCAAACAGGTAGAAAAAGTTTCCCTCCCAGGCAGGAGGAAACATCACTGCTATCTACCTGTCTCCAAAGAAATTAAACAAGGTGTGACAAAAAACAATGGAAGCCCAATTTACATAAACATCAGTAGGGGGATGGGAAGATAACAAGAAGGGAAGAACAGCATGAGGTCATCCTGTCTGTAGAAGCAAGGTCACTGAACTTTGAGAGAGATGCTTTCAAAGGTTTATGGCACTACAAAGGGAGGAGAAGCAAACCCCTAAGCTACTGGTTTGTTATTTTCTGTTTGCTTATTTCGGGAAAGGGAAATAGTGGCTGGGGAAAGCATTGAGGTAAAATGAAGGTATTGCCTTTTGAAGTTTTCTACATCAGGAGAGACAGTTGGTTCTTTGTTCTAAGTGTGGACTACATGACTGGCCAATTGAGGGCAAAAGAGTGAAAACTGCTCTGAGGGCTTCTTAGGCCCACAGAAGAATGTGGCTGATCCTGATGAGGAACTCCCACATTCAAAGATGTGGAATGTAGGAAAGTATTGTTTCTCATTTCATTGTGTTCCCCGAAATGTTAGTGTTGAAGGAGAAGAGGGAAGCATGCATATTGGAGGAAAGTTTTGAAGAACAGACTCTGTAGATGGTTTTTATCCAGATGTCTTGAGTAGTACTGGCCCAAGTTAGTAAAATTACTACTATATTGTAGCTTTTTCTTGTTTCCAGGTTTCTGAAGAGCTCCTGGATTTGTCAAAAAAGGAGTAAAAGAGGTGTTTGCGGGAACAAGAGCTCAAGTCTCCAGACTGTTTAAATATTTGACTGAAAACACTACTTGTTCTGCAACAGCTTGAGCTTGATCAAGTCATAGGATTCTTAAATCACTGCATCCAGTGCTTCTGCAAGAAGTGTAAGGCTGCGAAAAAGAGACTGAACTAGATAAGATCAAGAAATGATGTCTGCCACTTAGGCTTTGTGGTGGTAAACACAAAACAGAGATGAAGAATGGGATGTAGCAACAAAGGTCAGAGGAATGATACAAAGGTTGATAGACCTTTGAGCACCTTTCAATTTTTTCAAGCCCTTGGGTTTAGACCTTTGCAGCTTACCCCAGGTCTAAACCCTGGAAAGAGAGACCATGAAAATCACCAGGCAGGCCAAGGCTGCAGACTGAAGTCTCATTTCCGTGCATTCAAGCTTATCAGGATTCTTCGGAGTGACTGCCCATTCACTTGATTGGTAGTTTTATTGGTAAGTCCGGGTAATGGACAAGCCCACTTTAGGGACGATGAAAAATGTACGGCCTCTCTTTCTTAAGACTATATAGTTTCTGGCATAATTTGTTCATGCCCCCCACCCTCTTCTTACAATGTCCTTCCATGCAGGTACACAATATTTCTGTGGGATTCCCAAACTGGAAATAAGGTACTGGTGTTTCATTTGGTCATTTTCATAGGGTACACTGGAGGAACAGGGTAGATCTCCAATTCTTGATTATTATTATTTCCAAGGCTTTAGTGACCCTAATTTTTTGCCTTCAATTGATAAATATACACTGGAAAATTACAATGAAATCAGCTTACTGTACAATGAAAAACCATTGCAAGATATGTATCTAAGCTTACAGAAAAAAACTGATACTATAATTGAGAAATTTTAAGCATAATTAAAGTAAAATTAAATTTAAAAAACACTGTAATGCATATACAGAAAACACAACATTGAGGTTACACATCAAGTCTTATCACTGGTATTTCCTGACTTGAATGCTTAAACATGCAACTGTAATGTTTTCTTAACAGTATCTGTATGCAATATTACTTAATATTTATTTAACAAAGACAGCTACTTGCACCTTCATCCAGTCAGGAGAAAACGATAGGAAAGAAAATTATCACAAGATGCAAGTCAATAAAGAAAATTAATTACTGTATATTTCTACAACTTCAAATGGAAATATGCCATATTTAATCAAAGTCTCTATGATAAGAAATTGATATTTCTAAGTGTCACCTCTGATCAAAATAAATGGCCAATATCTGAGTGAAATATGTAAACAAACATGCTTCAAGGAGTAATGTCCAATGTAGGTGATCAATGAGATAAAATGATAAAAGGCAATTAGAAGAATGAAAGATTCACAGAATGTCTGGAAGTAATAGGAAATATTCTGTAACATCTACCCCACTACCAAAAATTTAAATGTTTCACTGTTAGTATCAAAGACACCTTACTTAACATGCACACCACATTAATTAGGGTCCGTGCCTCCATAACAAATTCATTTCTACTTTCAGCCACAGCATACACACACAAATCCTGTAACTCTATGGTGCTGGTGGCTCCCCATATCCAGCTGCTAAACTGCGGGAAAAGGAATCTAAAAAATATTAAGTACTTATTTAATATTACTTTTCTATGTACATTTCTGAAGTTGCCACAGGGATAGGACTGCAAATGGGAGGGGAGATGATCTGCAGCATTTCAAGTTGAAGGGAAAAAATGGTTCACAAGACAATATCTGAGGTACACAATATGGAAGAGTTTGCGAAACCCCAGATTAGGTTGCTTTGTTTTCTCTCATACACACACAAATGCACAATCAGATTTTTCTTTAAATTTCCTCTGCAACCATCTCAGATTTTTTTGATGATTATTTGGAATCAACATGGTATTTCCCACTATGACAGTTTTAATGTGTATCAAATTTTGAATCTAAATTATTTTACAATACTGTAAATTAAGGAAGGAATACCTTAGTTGTGAATACGCTATGTC